TTCGTAATATTTGTCCTTGACACAGGGAAAGCGATGAAAACTCTTCTTTGAATCGCTTTCTCATTGGTACTAGAAGCGAGACTGGACGAAATTTTGCACCTTCACTTATGAAAGATAAAGCTTTACATACATGAGAAACATGCAAAATTACTGAGATGACTAGCGAAATTATGGCAAAAATCTAAGTACATCTCTGACTCACCTCGACCTTCCCATAGATGCCATGCAAGTCACGATGACTAATTCCATAAGTATTGACATAACAAATAACAGAGAGAATACTTTCCAGACGTCTATGAAAGGAAGTCAGATGAGTGTACATGGCAAGTCCCAGCTCAATCCTTACCTATGGAGGTAACACCTGTAGTTTCCGGTAAGCCTGCCATATTCGTGCTGTAGTGGATCAGCAGCAAAACAAGTGAGCCAACAATGAGAATGGACCGCGTAATGGCCATTGGGCCAAGGATGAGGGAGAGCCAGCTCAAAAATGCTTGCTTAAAGTGCTCACCACCGCTGCATTCATCCAAAATGCAGAGCAGCCAAGACCAACCTCATGAGCATAAAAAGTGCCGAAGGAAGAAAGAATAGCAGAAGGAGTTTGTAATGACCCCTTCGAAAAGTAAACATTGCTGAAAGCTCATCAAATACACCATTATGACGATAAAGCTCGGTGTGATCCAGGTTGACGTCAAGGAGGATCAGGTCTCCTACCTAAACAATTTATCTTAGGGTCTTCTCTTAATGATTCAAACTCACCTGTTCAATCTTATTTTCACCAAAAGGCCGTGACAAAGCATTATTGTCCCATCTCATTTGCTGATTATCTCTTGAGTTTGCTTCGTTTCTCCACACCAATGTGCATGATATATTGCCAAATGGATAATCAAGTGCGCTAGTATGGCAGGGTATCGTTTGCTGCATCCTAGAAATTTACTTTGACAAATACATAACCACAGCTATGAGCACATACTCTAAGTCAGGTCATTATGAACTGAATAGCACAAAATCGACGAACCTTAAGTTTAATAACCAGCAAAGAGCTATGTAGTCCTGGATTTTTAAAAAGTTATACACGTTTTTTGTAGCCGTTTTTCACAATGCTAATCTTGGAGGAAAATACTGGTTTTTCATGGACACTGCTCACATCATTTAGAAGCTCCTTTCTTCTTACATTACTTTTCCACAGATACTTTATTTTTCCTAGGGCTTTGTTCATACTGTGACTACAAAGAGAACAAAAA